TCAGAAAGTCGGTGGGCGGAATAATATTCCAACGGATATGACGATTTTGAGATACAGGAAGAATCGATGGTTGAGAGGAAGGAAGGAAGAGAACGGGCAGAGGAGGAAATCATAAAGAATAGGATGGGTTGGAAGGATCGAAAGCTGAGAATATTATAAATAGTCGGGAGTAAAAGACAGGACGAAGAAAGAAAGAAAGAAACGGTGGAAGAATAAAGAAAGAAAGGAAAATGAAAGAAGGAAAGTAAAAAGAAAGAAAGAAACGAAAGTAGAAAAAAGAAAGAAAGAAAAAAGAAATAAAAAACGAAGAAATAAAAAACGAAGAAAGAAAGAAAGTAAGAAAGAAACAAAGGACAAAAAAGAAAGAAAAACAGAAAAAAAAGGAAAAAGGAAGAATCGAATAATGAAAGAAACGAAGAAAGAAAGAAAGAAATCAAGGAAAAAGAAAGGAGGAACATAAAAAGAAAGAAAGAAACGAAGGTAGAAAAAAGAAAGAAAAAAGAAATAAAGAAAAGAAGTAAGAAAGAAGGAAAACAAAGGACATAAAAGAAAGAAAGAAAAGAAGAATGAAAGAAACGAAGAAGAAAGAAAACAAGATAAAAGAAAGAAGGAAAGTAAAAAGAACGAAAGAAAGAAAAGAAGGTAGAAAAAAGAAAGAAAGAAAGAAAGAAAGAAAAAGAAAACGAATAAAGAAACAAACAAAGGACAAAAAAGAAAGAAACAAAAGAAAAAAGAAAGGAAAAAGGAAGAAACGAAGAATAAAAGAAACGCAGAAATAAACAAAGAAATCAAGGAAAAAGAAAGAAAGAAAGAAAAAGAAGGAAGGAAACGAAGAAGAAAGTAAGGAAGGAAGAAACAAGAAAGAAAAAGGAAAGAAAAGAAAAGAGAAAGAAACGAAGAAATAAAGGAAAAAGAAAGAAAGAAAAAACGAAAAAGGAAAAGAAAGAAACAAAGAAGAAAGAAAGAAAGGATAAAGACAGAAATAATGAAACGAAGAAATAAAGAAAGAATCGAAGAAAGAAGGAAAATTAAATGAAAAAAGGAAGAAAGAAAGAAAAAAGAAAGAAAGAGAGGAAAATAATGAAATAAAAAAGAAACTAAGAAAGAAAGAAACAAACAAACAAAGGAAAATGAACGAAAGAAAGAACTGAAGAAAGAATGTAAGAAAGAAAGAAAGAAAGAAAGGAAAGGAAAAGAAAGGATAAAGAGAGAAATAAAGAAACGAAGAAATAAACAAAGAATCGAAGAAAGAAAGAAAAATGAAATGAAGAAAGAAAGAAAGTAAGAAAGAGAGGAAAAGAATGAAAGAAAACAAGAAACTAAGAAAGAAAGAAAGAAAGAAAGAAACAAAGAAACAAACAAACAAACAAACAAACAAACAAAGGAAAAAGAAATAAAGGAAATGAACGAAAGGAAGAAGCGAAGAAAGAAAGAAATTAAGAAAGAAAGGAAAAAGAAAGAAACGAAGAAATTAAGAAAGAAACGAAGAAAGGAAGAAAGAAAGAATTTAAGAAAGAATCGAAGAAAGAAAGAGAGAAAGAAAGAAATATAGAATGGATAAAGAAAGAAACGTAAAAAGAAAGAAAAAAGAACGAAGAAAGAAAGACAGAGACGAAAAAGGAAGAAAGTAAGAAAAAAACTAAAAAAAGAAAGAAGAAAAGAAAGAAACAATTGGAGATCAGTCTTAAAGAATTATCAAAAAACGAAAATAAAAGAAAAACAAAAAGAAATGAAAAAATGAACTCAACATATGAAACGAGTAGTGAAGCAAGAAAGAGAAAATGAAAAGTAATGAAAAAAAGAAAAGAAAAAAGGTTCAAAAGGAGGCGTGAAATGTTAAAAGAGAAATAAGAGAAAAAGAAAAATAGAAAAATAAATAATAATAACACTGAAGCATAAACCTTAAGTATTCAACTTATTTAAAAAAAAATCTTTATTGCCAAACAATGAGATAAACCGACTAAGACGCAAGGTTTTAGTGAGCTCGAAGAAAACTGAGACCAAAATAAGAAAAGAAAAAAAAAGAAAAGCAACCTAAGGTCAGAAATGAAATTATGGAATTTTACCCTGAACATTTTTCTAAAAACTTAAGTGAAACGACCTAACATCACACAAGTTTTACATAGATAAAGCCCTTTGTTTATGTGTGAGCTGTACGCGTGAGAACAATTATTTGGTATTTCTTTAAGGCAATAGTTACCAGGTATCACTTCAATGATTCAATTAATCTCCGGACCCCATCCACAACAGGAATTATTGATGTGTTCATGTCCATATTTTTTAGATTTACTCTTCAACATACATGTATTTTGTTATTTTTTGAAGATCTTCAAAGATACATTACAGTCTGCAGGGAAAAAAGGCAAATATTCGATCAACTCTCGTTAAAGAGGATGCGTTGATAAATTTAATGCTTCAACAATAACCTGTATTACCGATAGAAAGTTTTCTGTGAGCTCATAAAAAATAAATAAAAATAAACGCGAAATAGAGATAGGAGGCCAGTTTAAGTTATGTTCTATAAGGTCAAATTTGCAGCTTATCTAAAAATTGACCTACGGCCTGTTGTTAATTGGAGCAAGGAATGGCTTGTTAGTTCTAACACCTTCAAAACGAAACTGCTCTATTTTAATCGTATGAAAAAAACCCTTTCTACTTTCCATCAGCATAACTGATGCTAACCTCCAGGAGAGGATGGCGGGATCATTGCACCCTCTAGAAGTGATGTAACTGCAAGTTCTATGCTAACAGTTTTCTTTCTCACATTTCTCGATTGTAGAACTCTCTTTTGGTTAAGTCAAAAAATTAAATGCAGTGTCAATCCTTATTTTCTATCCTCCTAAAATCCATTCTTTTATTCCTATCGGTCCTTAATAATATTTTTTTTTTCCTTTCACACGCAGTAACCTCCTACGTGTTTGTAACTCTGGCGGGAAATGATTAAAACCAGTACTTCTCACAGAAAACAAAAACACGACAGACATATAAGCGGCTAAATTAAGTTATAGTTCAAGAAATAAAGAAAATCCGTTGGCATGCAACGAGACGGCTGATGACTCGAAATAAAAAGCAATTCCCAAATCATTAAGTTGAAAGATAAACTTGCGACCCTTAGAATACACCATCCGCCGTATGAAAAAGTTCTGGCATAGACGGGATTATTAATGAGGTGTTAGCCAATAGCTGAATCCGAAATACTGTGGGAAAATAAAGATTTAGTCTGATTGCGCTAAGTCAACGCTTTCACAATATTAACTCGTATCAACCAAAGACTATCTGTAACATTTTTCCTATATAATTATATCTATGAATACGAGTTCATGTTCTTAAATAGACACGCGCCAGATCGAGGCTTCATTATTAATGGCATGCAAGGTGCCAAGGCCGTTCAAACATATTTAAACTCTCAACTGTACACAGCCGTTTTCTAAGATCAATGAGCGTGTAAAATCCGAGGCTCTTTGGATATTGGCGCTACAGATTCGCAAACAAACGACTGTGCCAAGTAGCAGAAACCACGTTACTTTAGGACTACCAATAGCAGTAACAACTAAAATAAATAGCACATGTAGCAGGAAGAGAAAATAATAAAATAATCATACACTATTTAGATTATTCGGACTATTGTCCTCATCTTTGTCGCCATATTTATTACAACGTTTCGGCCGTTGAACGCTCCGGCCTTCTTCAGGTGGTTGGAATGTCGAACTGAACACTTTATTTCGCTCACTAGGGTAGACTGTTCTCGTTCTACGTGCCATGTTTAACATTCCAACCACCTGAAGAAGGTTCTCACTTTAACTCTGATTCCTTGGCCTTTTGAAGAAATAAAATGAATTTCCTTAATTCACAAAGTTTTAGAGATATTTTAAACTGAATTTAAAAACTAAATTTTTAAATTCACTAAGTTTTTGTGTTACTTTAAACTCAACATATATGAAAGACTTTTACAATCAATGAATTTTTTTTCAGATATTTTAAAATTTAAATTTTTTAACAGTTGTCGCGTCACCGAGGCACATTTACCTATGCTGGATGTTCAAGAACCAGACGACGGGCAGATTTCCAATCCCAGGATTATCCTGATTCCAAAAATATATAATATGTCTATGTAGAGCAAGTGTGGCCCGAGTTAGATGGATTACAGACACATGGACAGACAGAACAGAATTTTCCGTTTATTTATTTAGATGACAATGAAAGTAATTATAATTAATGATAATGAATCATCTAATAAAAAGTGATCAAACTAAATTCTAGTCAAAAATGTATAATAATGGCTGAAAGTTTTTCATCAAATAAAAAAGGATGCAAAATGAATGATTTAAAACGTACACTTATCATTCCTTTAAATTTACAAGACAAAGAACTGAAACGTCGAGATTGACAAATTGACTCCGAAATACAAGGTAAACTAAAAAGTTCTGTCCGTTTTTAAAGGAAAAAAAGGAAACGCTTCACAGTATTTGTAACTTATATTTAGTCCTCGAAGTAATCGCCATCGACATCCAGCACCTTCTGCCAACATGTCTCCAGCTGTTCAATGCCCTTGCGGTAGAACTCGGGGAGTTTTGACGCAAAGAATCCGTGAGGGCTTTGCGCAAGTCTGCTTCTTTGGTGAAGAATTTCCCACGAAGATGATTATCCAGGGAGTGGAAGAGGTGGTAATCGAATGGCGCAAGGTCAGGTGAATAAGGTGGATGGCACAATGTCACCCACCCAAGTTGCTGTATGGTATCCCTGACCACTCGCGCGACATGCGGCCTGAACGGACAGAACTTTTTTGGTTACCTTGTAGATACTAACAAGAGCAGATAAATAATATTTATACCGTATAATTGGTACAGATTTGTATATTAGTACATACTTGTTACATAGGAAGAAAATGAGTAAATACCGACACCAAGTTTCGATCGTGACTCTCTGGACTTATGAATATATTTTTTTCCGCCGGGTGTATAAATAGCGATGTCAGGCTACTTACTGAAGTGATTATTATGTGACTATGAAGTGGAACTATCCAGTCGAATTAGTGTGAATTATTGTGCGTCGATGATTTGGGTTTTGATTTAGAATTTACCGGACGTTAAACCGAGCCGCGCTACCAATAAGGTATTCACTGAAATGGTTATCTTTGGTTGTTGTTTTTATTTTACTTCTTTTCTTGTTAAGTATTTATTTGTGGTTGTAATTAAATATTGTTTTATTTTAACGTTGAATTGTTGAGTTATACTTAATTATTAACGGCCACCGAACGTCACATAAATGCTAATTCACTGACAAGTCAAAGGTTGCAAAACAGCCTGTACTTTTTAGTGAAATAAAGCTGCATTAAAAATCTGTTGCCGTTATCCAGTCTTACGCACCAGCGACGGAGGCTGTAAGATAACGTAAGATCAGCTATAAGGCGTAAAGATGAAATTCAAAGAGATAACCACCGTAATGTTAGTTATCTATTGACTGTAGAAATTATTACAATTAAATCTTCACTTCAAAGCACGCAATATAATACAGGATGCTTATTATCGATACAGAAGGATTCAGTAAATATCAAACCTCAAATAATCCTTGTTCAAACGATTATTTTCCATACGCACAAAATGGCGCCAACTCTGCAATCCATGCGGTACACACTGATTGTTATCTTCTTTTTCTATATATAGTGTCCCTTCAGCACGTGGGCGATCACTGGTCTTTTGTAGCTCTGAATATTGTTTGCCCTTTTGTTATCCCTTCTAGTCCTGAAAACCATTGCTCATTAGGTAAATTATTAGCTAGTTTTTTTTTCTATATATTTTTGGCTTCGATATTTTCTGCTACTCTAGAAATACCTGAGAATTTTCAATTCTTTCTTATTCGAATTATAAATGCCCTTTTTTTCCCATTTTCCTTAACACTCCGTCGTTAATCATATATTAAATTCATAATATTCCCATTATCATTCTGTAGTACCACATTTCTTTTCCCTCAAGTCTCTTATTGTCTAACGTTCAGTGCCAGAAATGAAGATTGATATTACATAACGGTTCATGTGTTTAAGTTCCTGAAGCCAACGTACAAACATTTTACCGATTTTCAACTCGATGGTTATTTTTATTTGTGTGATCATGGGTTCTGAGGCTCTTAGTAAAGTTTGTCTTTTTGTTATGCATCCTAATCCCTGTTGTGCGAACTATTTACGCAAGCAGGTTAGGTAGGTTATTTAGTGTGTACTCAACACTACTACTGCAAATGTGGAAGTGACTAGGGATATATTTCTTCCTCAGGGTATCTGCAATTATAGTTATCCACAACTACCTGTCCCTTTTAGCCCTCAGCAGTTTTCTCGCTTTGCTGAGCCTCGCGCCTATTGTGCCACTAATTATTTCCACAAGCCCGTCAAGTAGATGGTCCGCTCTCTCCCCCACTTTTTTTATATAGATATGTTTTTACCAATTCACCCCAAGCAATGTAATAATGGCTCTAAGATGCAAATGGCTTCTTCTTCTTTTATGTGTCTCGTCCCTTCAAGACGTAGGCGATCATGGCTCTCCATTTTCTCCTCTTCCTTGTAGCTCTCAATAACCTTTGACATTTTGCTTTCTCCCAGACCATGTTTTGCTATCCACTTGTTTAAGCCAGCTACGTATGTCAAGCGTTTTTTCCCTTGTCCATCTTTCTCTCTATCCGCCTTGTGAGTATTAAATTTCCCAAGCCATCCTTTCTCATTTCGTATCACAGAAATTTCATCTTCCTCTTCCTAATGTTAAGCATGAGTTTCCTTTGTGTTTGCATCTTCTCAAAAACTTCATCTTTACTCATATTTTCGGTCCATGCTATCCTTAGCATACTTCTATAGAACTATACCTCTGTTGTCGCGAGTCTCTTCATTTTTGTGGAGATTGTCCAACATCCGCTGTCGTAAAGGACGACAGATAACGCGTAGCAGTTTAGTACTCATTTCTTTGTTACCGAAGAAATCCTCCTGTCTCGTACTGCACTGCCTAGCTTTGGCCATCCAAATACGTCTTCGGATTTGAGCGTTGCACTTGACTGGAAGTAAAAGAGAATTAAAAGACTTTAGAATGAACTGGAAACCAAACCTAAACAAGAAACAAGTGATAAACTTCAACTCCTGTTCCAAAAACCAGAGAGGAGAGGTAATTATCCGTAGTAAGTGGTACATTCTCCAAGTTATACAACAGATTTTTAATTCTTTAACACAAAGACTTTCCTTGATAATGCACTTAATATAAACTTAATCGCTTTTGTATGAATAACATAGGTCGACCATTATACTGGATAATTTATTGTAAAGTGTTATTAACTGTGTTACTCTTAGGATTTATTGATTCGCACTTGGATACACACGCACAGAAATATGTTTGAGTAAGGATTTGTATATGCATATATTAGATAAACAGGAGCCAAGGTCAGCGAATATAATTGAGTGGAATTTTTGCAAGTGAAATTTCGAAAAGTATATATATATATATATATATATATATATATATATATATATATGAAATTAAAATAATTGACGGAAAACCCCAGAGAATATTATGATATTATACATTTATTTATAAGTATATTTTTTGAGATAGGCATCAAGATATTTGTTTCTTGCTGACATTTATTAAAACATTATGTGTGCTGAAATATGTTTCCTATGTGAAGCGATTCACATGTGTGTTTATTTCAACTAGAAAAGCACGAAAAACAGTTGTATTTTTAATGATTTCACTACGATAAAAACTGAAAGTCATTTTGACGAGTGCGTTTGGAGCTTGTGAAAAAAGGAGTTTGCATTTTCTTTTTCTTATTTTTCTTGTTCTTGTTCTTTTTCTCCTTCTTCTTCTTCATCTTCTTCATTTTTTCTTCCTGTTCTTTTTCTTCATCCTTCTCCTCCTCTTCTTTTTCATTTCACTCTTCTTCTTTCTCTTCTTCTTCTTCATCCTCCTCTTCTACTTCCTCTTCTTCTTTTCACTCTTCTTCTTCTCACTCTTCTTCATCTACTTCCTCTTCTTCCTCCTCCTTTTCTTCTTCCTTTTCTTCTTTGTCTTCTTCTTATACTACTACTACTACTTCTTCTCACTCTTCTTCTTCCTCTTCTTCCTCTTCTTCTTCTTCTTCTTCTTCCTCTTCCTCCTCTTCTCACTCTTCTTGTTCATCTTCCTCTTCTTCATCCGGCTCCTCCTCTTGTTCTCTACTACTACTCCTCTTTCTTCTTCTTTCTTCTTCTTCTTCTTCTTCTTCTTCTTCTTCTTCTTCTTCACCGCCACCGCCTCTGTTATAGATGTTATCCGTCATTTATGCCTAAGGCAGACTATTTTCAGTGCCAAACAATATAGACTTCGAAAGATTCTAGGGAACTCAACTTTATTTCTCTTTTCTCAATGTAAATTTTCATATTTAATGGTACAGACTCCAGCGCCCCAATGGTCTATATATTTTTGTACAATGATATTCACCCTGTACAAGGCTGAAGGGCCACTCAAACTAGAGGGAACCGGAAACCCAATTCTAGGAAACAAGGAATAAACCTCTACTTCTTAAAACAAAAAAAAAAGGAGTGAAGTGAGAACCGGGCGATAAACAACTTTATCTTCCCTATTGAGGAAATAAATGGAAAATGAAAGATAAGAGTTTTAGGCGGAGACGCTAGAAGTATGGATTTGAAGTATACTTTAGAGAGAATCGAAAACCCAATCATAAACGGGGAAAAAATGATGAATCTCTAACCCTGTTCAAAAGATTGGAGAGGAGATTCGGACCGGGTAATAGGCAAGCCTATCTACTCTTATATCTGGAGTAATAGCGACCTAAACGTCCCACATTCAATTCAGAGGTCATTGTATTTCTTAAGATTGTCAATTTGATCATGTTCATGGAGGAATAATGGATAGCGGCTCGGATTGAGGAATCAGAGAACTGAGTTCGAATTCCAGTTGAAACAATTATATTCACTTACGTGTTAATACCCTTTGGAAAGGCATGAATCCTCTTCTTCTCACTCCAACTATGGGTAAATAGCAGGACAGACTTGGTTCTATAGCCTTGGATGGTAACTGGTTTACCGCAGAAAGAAATACCGCGGGAAAAGATCCGCTTCGTCAGTCATGTATCGCCTAAGCGTGTATCACGCATGGCACATAACTGACTGAATATGCGCGCCAGATGCATGACGAAGATCCATCTTCTTGTTTCTTTTCAGCGACCGTGATGTCTGGTTTGCTGGCTTCAAGCACGTTTTAAAATTAGAAAGAAGCAAATGTGTTATTGAGGGTGAAATAATATAAGAAAAAAACATTATTATGGAGAGAAAACATAAAATAGAAGAGGAAGTAAAACAAAAAATAACCATTAGCATTGCAATTAAAGTTTTGAAAGTTTAAGTTGATTGGAAAGCAAGAAGCCGGAAAAGAGATCCACAAGTGAGAAGTGCGAGAAAAGAAACTGTTAGCATAGAACTTACGGTTACATCTAGTCATTTCAAATGTAAAACGATGAGACCTTGCCTTTAATCTAAAATTAAATTTCGTAACATCTAGGTACCAAATAGGAAATCTCACTAGATTACCACGAAAGTATTTATAGAAAAGTGTTGTAACCTAGCGGCGCGTAGAAGAAGTAGTCAACTGCTAGAAGTGATTCAAGGAATCTCCAACTCTAGGATATCTACCAACAGCTCCACGCCGTCAGATGTGACACAAGGCTGAATTTAATGTGAGAGTATTCAAGCCCGTAGGCTTGGCCAAAAATTGCCCGTAGATCCAGTATAAAACGGAGTCGGGTAGCTGTTTCCCGAGACCAGGATCTGCCTTTCGACATAGCCTCGTCTGGGGGATGCTCTTGTGGAATAATGTATTATTCCATCTACGACATTTTACGCGCGCGCGAGTTTCCTCCCTTTCTTCCACACTCGTGTGTGCGCGCGCGCGTTTGACACCCCTTTCTCCCTTGTTCGGTCTAATACAGTAGTAACTGTTTTGGTCGGCAGTCAAACGACCTGCTATGCAAATTAGATTTTTGAAATCTTCCCGCGAAAAATTTGTGACGTCAACGACAAACTGTTGTTTCAGAAAAAGTTAGTTGTGATCCAGACTCGGACCTAAGCAGACTCATTTTTGTCCATGTCAATATTTACTGGTTGACTGACGAAGGATATCTTACGATGCGACCACAAATAATTAATTCCTCGTCCTTTTTGGCTCGTCATTCAAAGTCCTTCTACGAGATGATGCATCACCAAATAATTAACTTTTCGTCCCTTTTTGGCTCGTCATTCAAAGTCCTTCTACGAGACGAAGTAACTCCGAGTATTAACTTTTCGTCCCTTTTGGCCTCGTCATAAATCTGTTTTGAACCAGTACAAAAAAAAGAAAAAAATATATATACATAACATTTCACTCACATTAGCAAAAACTCGCAGTGAGTAATTTTTCCTTGTATGTATATTATCATGCATATTGACTTATCTGGAACCTTCTTCTTCTTCAAGAACCTTCCCGAATTAGCCATCTTGATTTTTATTTTGGCGCGGAATATTTTCATTGATCCCTACTACGGGATAAGTTACTTGTTTTTCCTGCATTTAATAAAAATTACTCTT